GGTAGCGCGCTCGCCTGGCATGCGTGTGGCCCGGGTTCGATCCTCAGCACCACATACAAACAAAGATGTTGTGTCCGCCGAGAACTAAAAAATAAATATTAAAAAAAAAATTTTAAATCCTCTCTTCCTGCTATTTTGGCAAAAAAAAAAATAGATTTTTGAGCTGAGGATGAAGCGCAGTGATTATAGCGCTTGCCTAGCGTGCATGAGGCCCTRGTTTTAATCCTCAGCTCCACCAAAAAAGAAAATAGTTTTAGATTCTTGATAAACCCCTCCCCTGGACCCACCACCCAGTGCTAGGGATTGAACCCAGCACTTCTTGCATGTTTGGCAAGTGCTCTACCACTTGCTGCCTGCCCAGCTCCTATCTATTTATTCTTTTACATATCATGGTTTTGGTATCATATCTAAGAAATCTTTGCCTTAACCCTAGGTCATAAGATTTTTCTTATATTGTGTTTGAGAAATTTTGTAGTTTTCACTCTTACAGATACTGTGTTCTGTTTTTTTTGTTTTTTTTTTTTTTATCTGGCCTGAAGTTGGGTCTAAGTTCATTTATTTATATCATGGGTAGATCTCAGAGTAAACTAAGTGATAAAAGCAACTTTCAAATTGATATTTTCAGTACAATACCATTCATAAAAAAATTTTAAATCATGAAGATATTGTATATTCTTCATAGTTACATGTGTGCACATAGGTAAAAATTTCACAGCAGAATTTCTGGTAATAGTCACTTCTGGGGGAAAAAAATAGTCACCTCTGTAGGGATAAGAGGAAGGAACTGGGCTTGGAAAAAATGATAGTAAAAGGAGTCTTGAGATTTATCTGAACTATTTTTAGGTTGAAACAAATTTGACACAAYATTAACAATTATTCATTTGTATTTCTCAAAATAAAACACACACACACACACAAATGATTCAAATTAAGAACGGTAGAGAATAAGACATGGCTTCAGTTCGGTGCCCATTCTCTGCTGTGCTGGGAGGTGCCGTCCTGGCAGCCGGTCAGCCTCAGTGATCTGTGGTGATATGGGGCTTCTGAGCTGGACTCCCMGGATAGTGGTCTCTATTTGAACTCATTCTCACATTCCGCTTGTATTTTCCCAGTCCTGCTTCTACAGTCGACCTGCCACACCTAGTCTCCTGGCTCCCAAGGGCTCATTGAGCTGCTTTGAACTCCTCCTTTGCTCTTTTCATTTGTTTTACCCCATTGCTCCAAGCTCCCTCTAAAACTATGATACATAAAGCCCACCTGCTTAACATGCATCTGTTCTCTCCATTATGTGTCCATTCTTTCAGACCTGGGGTGCGGGGTTGGGGCCCCTGGAGTCCAGGAGCTTATTCTGACTTCTGCTTCTGCCCAGCTGTGCAGCCTCACACTCTTTGCATCTAAAAGTTGATATAAACAGATGTCATTCTACCCATGAGTTGTTGGAGAATCCGGCGAGAACGAGTATGTGGATGTGTTTGCAAACAAGAGGATATCGGTGTGTTGTTTCTTCCTGGTGTTGTCAACCCCTCCCAGATCCTTGACCCCGCTGCCCTGCCCAGCCTGTCCACCTGAAGGCTCCTGTCTGTCCCTGCTGGCCTTTCCCCCAACATTCTCAGTCCGTTCTTACTGCAATCTCCCTTTCTTCCCTGTTCCCTTTCCTTTCCCTCGGCAGTGTGACTCCATCCATTCAAATAGGATCATGCCCCAGCAGACTGCTGGCTAGCTCAGACTGAGTGCTTCCCCCTTCCTCAAAGAAGTTAGACCCTTGAGATGACATATTTTATCTCTGATCTCCAGGCTCAGGCCACAGGATCACCACATACATCGCCCACTCACGCAGGCAGCCGTCCCATGCCYATGCCTGTCCGTTCTGCATCTGCCGGGTCCACCCCCACCCATGGCCCACAGGACTCCCTGAGCGGGGTTGGGGGAGACGTGCAGGAGGCCTTCGCCCAAGGTGAGTTTCCAGGCCCAAGTGTAATGGGGAGCTGAAGGGGTTGGGAGCATGTATAATATTCCTGCTAAGATTTTTTCCAGTTACTTTCCTTTTGTGCTYTTGCTGTCTTAGCTGTAGATATCAGATTGACAGAATAAATAAATCAGGTGCACGCTGGCCCCTTCTTAGGAGATGAGCCAGTCTTCTGCGGGAGCCCTGTCTGCCTTCAGGTGTGTGCAGAACAGGCCCCTTGGGTTCTGTGTTCTTGTTCTGGGTTGAGAAGGTACTGCSCTCTCTGGGCTGTGCCTTCTTCAGAGGAATTAGATGGAATAATCCACAGTCATACGGTTGGCCCAGAAGGTCCTTAGGCCTAGCAAACACGGGAAGTGTAGTTCTCTAAAGGGAACCTGGTTAATGGCACAGTGAGCATGGAATTGCCACAACCATCTGAGGATCCAGGGACCCACAGTTTCCAGTGGTTGGGAAGGAAGTCTTGMGGGAGCTGGGGCGAGGAGTTGGGAGGGGGTGTTGTGGAGTAGAGCCACCTCTGAGGCTGAGCACCTCGATGGGAACCTGACTTTTCTCACTGTGTGGTGTCTGAAGCATGGACTTGACCAGATCCTGACTTCCAGGTAGAGAGGACAGGGAGTGGGAACAGCGGACTCCCGATGCACCTGGGAGGAAGTGGAGCGGCTATGACCCCATCTCCCCTTAGCTATTCTGCACCTGTGTCCTAGGGCCTGCAGACTCAGGCCTCTCCATGCCCACCACCCTGGCATTGCCATCTGCTCTGACTCTCCTCAGGTACGAGGAGAAACCTCCGCAATGACCTGCTGGTGGCTGCTGACTCCATCACCAACACCATGTCATCCCTGGTGAAGGAGCTCCATTCAGGTGAAACCCAGAGCTCCCGCCACTCCCACCCTCTGCCCCCGACACTGCCTCACCACAGAAGGTCACCACTCACACCCCCCTGGTTTCACCACTTGGTTTTGCCTTCTAGGAACGTGCAGAATCTTCACCCAGCGCACCTCCCTCCCACACGTGGTCACAGCGGGACAGTTACACGTTTAGGTTTATCCTAAGATACCTGGTGAAGCAAATGTAGTTCTCAATTTAAAGAAATTCAGCCATTAGTGCAGCCAGCCCCCCACCCCACCCCACCGCTCTCCTACGTGCACCTTTGTCCACAGCAGCTCTTTCCCTAGGCCCTGTCGCCAGCTCCTCCTGAACCTGTCCTGATGTCGGCAGCCAAGGCAGCCACTAGCGCTGGGCCCTCCAGCTGCCTTTCTGCTCTTACTTGATTTTGAAACCCTTTCCTCTCCTTTCGTCCGTGACCAGGCTGTGATTTCACCTGAAGTTTTCGAGACCTGCTGCTTCCTCTGCTCCTCATGTTTGGTCTTTTCTGACTTCTTTCTCCGTCTCTCCATCACCCGGCCACTGCGGTGACTTTCCAGAGACCTCTGCCTCATGGCTTTCCCCCTTACATAAATCCCAGGAAAGAAAGAGAAAATAAAAGGCTTCTCACGTATCATCATACCTCCAAGTGTCCCCTCGACTCCATCAGTGACGTAGCCGCCCGACACTTGTGAATTTTCCAGCGGTGGGATCCCTATGTGTCATGTTAAGCAAGTGGGCTCCCTTCCTGAGGGCTGGGGGTCCCTCACGACGAGGGCCTTCCTCTGTCCCTTTTCATCTAACGTAGTGCTTGTAAGTACCTAGCAGTAATTTAGCAGCGTTATTAAATAAAAATAGGAAGGAGTCCCTCCATGGACTATTCAGACCCTGTAGGGGAGGCAAGCCCAGGGTGTTTCCCAGGCCTTGGCAAGGGAACTTCATGGTGCCCCTGTCCCCATCTAGTCCTGTTTCTCATGCCTAGTGAAACAAAACCCCCCTGCACACACGCTCAAGCAGGGGAGGTGGTGGCCTTCAGAGATGACTTCACAGCTGATTAGAAGATCTCTTCCTTAATATAGTTCCAACAGTGGCCAGAAATCCCACTTATAGAGGGAATTTCAGCCGTGGAGATGAACTATACTTGTTCCTTGGGGCTTCTTGTTAAGATTTATGCAAAATAAGTTGCTCTTGCACTCATCCACTAGGATGAGAGTGCGATTAACTGAGGGTAATTGGACATCAGTAAACATAAAGCACCCAGAGACCAAATAGTGTCACAGAGATGAGGTGTTTACAGGGATAGTTATTCATCTCTTATAATAGCAAAGGATGATTTCAACATGATTATTCAGTGTCATTTAGAAGGTACCTCGGAGATCATATAGTTCAGTACCCTTATTTTAGAAATGTGGTGAGTGATTATCAAAAGAAGTGATTTGCTGCCAGGCACGGTGGCCCAAGCCTATAATCCCAGTGACTCGGCAGGCAGGAGGATCACTAGTTCCAGGTCAGCCTGGGAAACCCAAGGAGACCCTGTATCAGAATAAAATAAAAAAGGCTGAGGATATAGCTCAGTGCTAGAGCACTCTTGGTTTCAATCCCTATTACTGCAGAAAAGAAAAAGAGAAGTGGTTTGCCTAAAGTCATGGAGCTTGAAGGGACAAAGCTGGTCCAAGAACTCAGGTCTGTAGAATATGAAGCCAGTGTTCTTGCCCCACCCAAAGTCAGGCATCAAACTCAGGGTTCCCCGAATACCCATTTTTCTCCCCAGCACTTAAGCCTGTAGATGTGGACTAAATTCATGTGGCATAGTGTGTCCCTTAAAAATGCAGAAGTAAACTCCCTTTACATGCAAAGGTGACAGTTTCTCAATGAATGAAGAGGCTTGCCCAGCASCATCACATTTTTTACCTCTCCTTGATCTTGGTTTCACAGGGGTTTATTAGGATCAGAGTAGATATTCAGATTATCTTTTTCACATACTGTATACAGTGCACATATCTGTTCTACAGATATCCATAGCTTGTCCTCATCTTTTAAGAACAGTTTCATAAATAGTGGAATGCTAGAATTCAAAGGGTTCTGAGAGGATATTTAATCCAACTTCTGCCCAATATAAAAGTCCTCTATTTGCAGGTTCCCAGTGAACTTTTTCATGATCAACTCTAGTCACTGGAGAGTTCTTATTGGGGAACCAGAATATGCCTTTCTATAGTTGATTTATGCTTGTTCCCTCTCTAATGGTACCCAGAATCAGTTCAGTCCCTCCTTTGCAGGTCACCTCCCACRTGTCTGGTGGCAGATAACGTGGCTTCTCCCTTGCTTTCTCTTCTCTAAACAACTCTACCCYGTTCCCTCACCTACCGAATGTAACATGATCTTCACTTTACTGTCCTGTGGTTCAGTTTTCCAAAGCCCCAATTCAAGTGAACACCCAGGGCTGAGCACACTGCTCCATATCATAGGGGGACTGTCCCTACAAAGCATAGGGGATCTGTGACTGTTCTACAGGGGGCCCCTGGGAGAGCAACATTAGGTGACATTAGCTTTGTTCCACGGGGTCAGTTYACACTGTGAAGTCATTTTAAGTTTGCTGTTAGCTAAAACTTCTAGTTGTTCATTGATTTTGTTTTATAGAAGCCCGTGTTAACCTAGGTGTTCCTCCACTATGCACTTACATTGTCGCTTTCTTAAACCTGAACCCGAACGCGAGATATTAGGTGTATCTCTGGCAGATGTTATCACCTTAGGAAAAACAGGCACTCCCCATCCCCCACCCTGGTCACCAAAGAAGCCAGCAGCAGGGTGGGTGACATCAGACTTGGAGGTCTACACTGTGAGCCTTTAGCCAGAGTTCTTCCCAAGACTCCTAAGTTATTCTGCTCACCTGCCTTTCCGTGCTTGTGCTGTGCGGAAGGGTCACTGGCCTCCTTGGACTTGTTTTCACAGCAGAGGAAGGTGCAGAGGAAGAGGAAGAGAAGATGCAGAATGGGAAAGACAGAGGTAACGGCAGCTCTGCAGGAGCCCTGGCTTAACAGGGCACCTGAGATGTAGCACTGATGAACATCAGCATCTCCCCTCTGTTTCTGCCCTCCTTTCCCAAAGCCTCCAGCCCCACAATTCCTCTTACTGCTTCCCACCTGACAGTCAGGCTTTACCTACAGGTAGTCATGTGAGCTGACTGACAGAGCTTCATGGTTTCCTGCTACTGTGGTAGATGGGTGGGATACAGGAAATAGATACAGCAATACGGAGAGCATGATCCCTTGCCCTGAGGAGTTGGTAATCAGGTTAGTAAAGCAAGACTAAGATATGGAGACTAAATAGGAGACCAGACAAGCAACAGAAAGTTCATCACAAAACTTGAACACACAATAAGCATTTCTGGAAAGGAAGAGATCATTGTAGGCTGGAACAGCGAAAAGTTTGGGGGCTTATTGGAAAAAATAGAAGCCAGGAACAAACAGTGTCAGCAAAGGACAGTAATGCCTTCCTAATTTTGTTATCCATAAAACTTATTTGATAACTTGTTATCTGGGAAAAGAGCTGTGCTAAATGATTTTCATATATAATCTCATTTAATCCTTGTGAAATATGTATATAATAACAGCCCCATTTTAGTAGTGAGAAAATGGGCTCTGGAGATTTTGTTCACATAGCCATGGAATGGCAGCACTGGGCTTGAATTGGGTCCTTCTAACTCCAAACTTACTCTTCATCCTTCAATGTTATGCTAATCAGAAAACAAAATTCTCTTGGGACATATGAGAGTTACCTTTTATTTATGTCCTATAGTAACCTGTCTATTGCTGGATTTCTCCAAAACACAAGCCCCCTGAAGCACAGACTTTGTTGGTATTATTTTCCCTGTGCGTAGAACAGCACCTGGCACTTAGCAGGATGTCAGTAAATGATCAGTCTGTAGCAGTAAATAAGATGTAGTAGAGAGGACCTGATCAGGGGAGAGAACAAAAGTGGTCAGCCGCCCTTAGGAGACCAAGATAGTGGGAAGGGAAGATGAGAAAGGGCCAGCACTGACTCCCAGGTGCCTACTAGGTGCTGCGCCCATTATAACTCTGCCTTCTTACCCGGCTTCACAGTCCCACAAGGAGGAATTCTAGACAAGGTTCAGAGGGGTGCAGTAACTGGACAGGTAGAGGGTGGCAGAGCTGGATTGATCCCAGGAATCTCCACCTCCAACCTCCAGGCATTCACCTGAGCAGAACAGGTATTGAAGTGGGGAAGCTGCAGGAAGGGCAAGCAGCAGTGAAGTGGGAGGCACAGTAAGGAAGCCATGGCTGGAGGGCAGCTCCTGGACAGTGGGTTGGGAGCATGCGCCCACGGGGGTGAGCATGATGAGAGAAGAGGTCTTGGGAGACTCAGAGCAAGGAATTTGCCACTGAAGAAACTGAAATTGCCATGGGAGCAACTGGGAGAAGAGGGGAAATAGAGTACAGGTGCTGAAACCATCCAGGAGCCAGGGCAGGCCTGGGAGCAAGGGATGTTAACAGGATGAGTTGGTGCCAATGGCATGGGGCCACACGGTGGTCAGCAGGATAGCCGCAGTTCAGATGTCCAGATGAGACTTACGTCCCCTGCTAAGAGGAACCAGGCAGGAGAGAAGGGGAGCTAGAGAGGGAAATTTCCACTCCCRATCCCAGACACACATACTCCAATCAAATCCCAGCATTCCTCTGGAATGTTCTTGGCTGAAGGCATAACAGCTGTGGCCTTGGCCTGCCCCAGGAACTTTGTCCAGGCCTCTCCCTAGCTTTCCTCCAATTCCCTAAAGTAAACCCAGAGCTATGCCCCAGCCACTGAGGCCTTGCGCTGACTGTGACCCCAGCCCAGAGTTCTGGTTCAGGCCTGAATGTGGGCCACATCTCCCATAGGAATTGGGGACAGCTTCATGAGCCCGGACTTCCCGACTCGGGGACTTTGTCTTTGCACCTGACTTACCCTGTCAACACCTCTCTTTCTTTGCCWCTTGTTCACAGTCTCTCCTCTTTCGATGCTCATACTAGAGTTTCTGTACGTCTGTGAGCTCTTCTCGTGAAAATGCCTGCGTTTCTATTTCTGTGGTTTTTACATGTCATCCCTGACAGCAAGAGTGTTAAGAGTTGGGGTGAAAGATGGGTAGAGTTTTTTAAAATGTTTGATTCTTGATCTTGCATTGGCCCTAGGATATGTCCCTGTAGCTACAAGTAGCTTTTCTGTGGGTTTTTCTGGGTGGACCTCCCATTCTCTGCCATGATTAAGGCCTGGGGTTTTATTGTAGGCTGACTGCACCAACTGTATTCATCAGGCTATTAAAGGTCAGTAAGTATCCACCATAAAGGGAAGAGAGAGAATTATTTCCTTTCTTTGGGTTGAAATCATACTGATAATCTAAGTCCAATTTGGTCAGCACCCTGTGAGGCATACAGAAGCCGTGAGAGCCAAATGGGCACCTGTGAAGAATTCAGACCAAGCCAGACTTCCAGCCACATCGACCCCTAGCTCATGTTTCTGCCTGGCTCTCTGGTGACGCTCTGGAGAATGCTTCTGCTCTGCTGGGGTGCCCTTCCTATTGTGGGTCCCCTCACTCTGTATAACCAAGACCACATAGATGAGGCATAGACTGACGTCGCTTCTCCCCTATTATGTCAGTAGCCTACTTCATCTCAGCCACTCCAGAGCCTCATTTTATGCTCCTGTGTCCTTCAGAATCCCCTCTCCCGGAACTGCCTTCCCAGGGTTGGTGGCTATCAATCCAGTTTGCACACCAAAGGAACCCTGGTGAATGTCTGGACAGCAGTGGCCCTCTATGAGGTTAGACACAGGCCCTTTAGGGCCCTGGTCGTGTTTTCCTTCCCAGTAGGAGCAGGAGCATGATTGGACAATCTAACACAGAGGCATCTGCAAGAGGGAAATACTGCCCTGATCAAAGGTGTTAATTTCCACCTTGCTCACTTCCAGAACCAGATGGGCTTTGCCCCGCAGTGTAACTGCCCCTAGGTTTAAGGTGGCCTCCATATTATCGTTTTCCTTCTGTGAAATATTTGTCCTCACTGGGTCTTGTGTCAGATGTGGTCGCTGACTCTAGATGGTCAGTCTCTCCATTATCAGGCCCTGGTCAGGAAAAGGTAAATGGGAGAGGCAATCCAGAAGCCCCTGGGAAGGATGGGTCAGGAAAGCCCCCTGGGGAGGATCCAGGGGCTGAGAAGAGCCTAGGTGTGACCTTGATGTTGTTTCTGCCCATGCTGCCCCAGGTTAGCCAAGGAGCCAGGCACAGAGGACGCTCAGGTGAGTAGGGAGCCTGCAGCCAGCGCAGCCTCCACCTTCCCGCAGCCCCTCCCCCTCCTTGTTTAGCAACTTCATTTCCTCTTTCTTCAGTTGTGGGTCCCAAGCCAAAGCAATCTTAACAAGCCAAGCTACAATCAGGATTTTTTTGAAAGAGCCCAGGTGTACCTTTCCCTCTTCCCCCAGCCTTGCCAGTGAGCCCACTTTGCCCTGTTTTGCCCAGGCCGTGTTTTCCCTGTGGCCTGGCCCCCAGACAGGTCTGGTGTCACCAATGCTGCTGGCTGAAGCAGGCACTCACCTGGGCTGCCTCCAGTGCTCCTGTTTCCCACAGATACCACACGACAGCCAGAGCACCCCTGGGATCCTATCACCCCACACTATCCCCTGGCCTAGCCCTGACCCCAGGCACATGTTGGAGCCATGCAGATCACACTGACTACAGAGCAGACCAACTGACTTCCTATGCAGCCTGGCCAAGCTGTACCTTCCCACTTCCCCAAAGAACAAATGAATCAAAGTACACCTACTGCCTTAAGGAATGAGTCTCCTATTTTTCCATCTTGAGACCACAACTCACTGTGGTCCCAACTCCAAGATATTGCTGCTTCTGGGTTTGTTCTCTAAAAGGAGGGGAAGAGCCATCCAGGAGGCTTATGAAGGTCAGTGCCAACCTCAGCAACCTAGTGAGACCCTGACTCAAATAATAAGAAGGGCTGGGGATGTAGTTCAGTGGTAGAGCACCCCTGGTTCAATCGCCAGAACCACCACACCACCCCACCCAAAGAAAGGCAGGGGGATGGAAGCGAAGGCCAGCCATCAGTTCAGGAGAAGAATGGATTCAAGTGGAGCAGCCATGAAACTGCAGTCTACTGTTGAGCTCTTTTCTGCCCTCTCTTCCCCTCCCCCAACCCTTTTTWAAAAATTAGACATCATCTTCAGTTWCATATCTTCAGGGCAAAAAAGCCAGGGCCTCAGTCCCAGGATCCAGAAGTTTTCGTTAAGACCTTTCCAAGTAGTGTCACCCTGGAACTGCCTCCAGGCCAGACCCAAYCTCTCCCTCCCACCCAGACCAGGTCCCCAAGGGCTACGTTCCCCACACACACCTCCCTGCAGTTTCAGCCTGCGTGGGTCAGCCGGTGCATGCTGCAGATGCCAGTCCCCAAGCATCTGGTGTTCTCTCGTGCCCTGGAAATGCAGCCACAGGGTCTTGGAGAGCAGAGCAGCTTCTCCCTGAACTTGCCATGCACATGCAGGTGAGGCCCTTCCAAAACAAGCCCGGGCACCACAGCTCCCTGGGGAAGTCGGGAACTGACTGGCCTGCAGGAGCCTGCCAGAGCCCCTCTCCCTGGGGCAGAGGAACTGGAGTAGAAGGGACGGGTGCTGTYGTCGCCTGGCCTACCCCCTCTTGATACAGAAAAGGAAACCAAGGCCTACACCAAGGAGCTCAGTGCCACTGTCCTCTTTGACCCACATCAGGAGGTTTGAAAAACTGACTTAGAGTGAGATGAAAAGGCTACCAGTTCTGCTCTCTACTGGACGGAAGCTAAGCCTTCCCTCCTGTCTTCCTCAGTATTAATAGGTGCTTTGGCATCCTCTCTACTTTGCTCAGCCACAATTCTTCCCAAGAATCAACCGCACTCCAAACCTGTCATTGCGAACCCAGTTCTTCCATGGAAATGTTGCCTGACCCTGTGACATAAGCAATGATTGCAGAAGACCCTAGGCCCCATCTCAGAGAATCCACTTCACCCCTAGAGCCCCACAGCCCCTCCCTGCAGATGAGCTTGTTCAGAGCAGCTGTTAGCAGTGTTTGCCCCAGGCCAAAGTGGTGCGGGTGACTAATGGTGAGTCTGTCTTGCACAGGCACAGAGGACGTGGCAAGCTGGCACCAACACTACCAAGGCACGGTCTTCCCCCAGAGGCACATTCCTATCCATCTTTCTGCTGCACACCTGGACCCGGCTTGCAGGCTGTCAGACGTCACTCCATCGCCAGGGAGAGGGGAGCCAAACCGGTGGGAAGTGGGGAGGGCCTGCCTGGAGCAAAGCCGCAGCTGGTGGGCCTTCCCCTGCGCAGCCCTGCATGTACTAGCATCTTCATTACTCCCCTCCGGGCATGGTCTCCTCTCTGCATCAGGAATTTTCCGGGAGGTTGAAAAGAGAAAAGAAAAGCTCTAAGCCCTTGTGTGTGTGTGACCTGATGGATCTGGCGTCTGGCCAACACGTGGTATGCGCCCTAGAGTGGAGGCACAAGTTTCCTCCTTACCTTTGACCTTTAAAAACCAACAGGTTCTCTTCCGTCTATGCAAAAGAAAGCTGCAGGCCTTGCTCAACGCTGTAGACGTTCACACCCTGGCCTCAATGGTAGTGCTATAAATAGCCGCCTTCCTTTCTCGCACTGCCGAGGCTTCCGCCCCSCCGAGCGAGATGCTGCGGCTCTGCAGCCAGGAGGCGGGGCGGAGAGCCCAGCGCGGGGCGAGACGGGGGCGACCGCCAGGGGGCGCGCTGCCAGAGGCGCAGCCTCTCCCTGGGGCTCCGTGCGGCTCAGGCACACGTGATCAAGTCCAATTCCCGGTGATTTTCATCTATATTTTTCTGCTCCCTGGGCTCCAGGATGTTATTTTTAGTAGAGGAGTTGCTATAAATATTTATAAAGGGCAGTGACTGGAATGGAGCGAGAGGCCCCACAACTGGCTGCCCCCACCACCACCACCTCTGCAGACCCCTGCCCTGGCTTTGAGGTATGTGCAGAGCCACTGGGCTGGACTTGTGACCTCACATGGATAGAGTCCCAAGAGCACCGCGAAAAGGACCCGTTGGGACAGAACAAAGGGTGGATGTTAACTCGCAGCCTCTCACCTGGTTCTGCCTCAGTTATTCCCATTTCTAACAGAGGTCAAGGCTGGAGACGTGGAAGTGGGGTGCCTTGCTGGGCCCAGGTTCTTGGTGTCCTACTACTAGGTATGAGGGGCATGGGGGCTGCAGCTATGTGAGGGGAAAGAGGAAAAGGAGACGGGAGATGGCTCCTGCTCATCTGTGAAAAAGACACCTTTCCTCCAAGCCCCAGTAGGAAGCCTGCCTCACCCACACTGCGTGGGGTAAAGCAGGGGCTTGGGTAAAGAAAAGGAAAAAGGTAAAAAGGTTTCCACACTTTCAGGAAAAAGGGGAAAGGCATCCTAACTTGCCTGGAAGGCCACAGGGGGGAAGGGTGAACACAAACACATGGAAAGTTCTGGGGACACTCAGTGCCCACCAGTATGAGGTTATGCATGAAGATATGACAGTCTCTGAGAGGACACTCTTGAGGGACTGCTTCCCCCCATGATCCTGACATCTCACACTATATACCTTTCCCCTGAGAACAGGGTTGAATCCCATCTCCTGACTCCTCATGTGAGCTGCTTCCTTCTTCCAGAGCAGAAAGGGTTAAAGGAACACTCAGACTCAAAACACTAGTGTCTCCAGAGCAGCTGAGTGCTCAGGCCAGCTGAGGTGTGTGTGGTGCATAGGCAGCATCCCCTGGGCCCCTCAGGGCCAATGACCAGTCTGCAGGTTCTCTTGCTCTCTTCCTGTCTCTGGGAAGGAGCAGTGTTTGCCTGTAGGAGAAGCTCAGATCTTCTAAGCACTTACTGCTGACCAGCCCTGGAGGGTAATGAGAGGATAGTGATGGGGTTGAGGATACCCTGATGCCAGTATTTTGGACATTGAACATGCCATTGTTGATTTCTTTTAGTTAGAATATCCACTATTGTCTAATGCCCCTGAGGTGCCTCATGGCTTCTTGGCATCTGCTTTCAGGCCAAGATCCACATTGGAAGTTTGAAGCTGGTTTCCTTTCCTCAGCCCTGACTCGGAACCCAGGTGGTCATTCTGATGTAGCAGCACTTTTCTTCTTAATTGCTCCATGGCCATTTAGGAGCCCAATTTAACCCAGGTTGATATCTTTTGAGAGGCATTTACTGTCAGCATCTCCATGAACCCTGGGGGAGTCAGGCTGTCCTGCAGCACTGGGGGTTGGTGCTGTTTTGTGACTGTGAAGACCCTGGAGAGGAACCAGATGGATCCTGGGCCTTGAGGAAGCACAACCCCCTGGCAAACCCTGGACCATAAGTCCCAGCCATCCTGAGTTTCTATTTATTGTCACACCTCATCTGCTGATTATGCTTTATCCAATGGCAGACTCTCTTCTCCCACACCGCTTAATTCCTGTTCCTGGTGCCCACAGTTTCAGAAAGGTGAAGTTGCCATGGCAATGCCTAGAGCCATCTGACTTCAGCTGCACCTCCTGGAAGACAAGGGCTCGTGAAGAGTCACTCTTCATGTCTGGCTTATGGTCTCTGCACTCTAAGGGGTCAGAAGCTTGGTAGGTGGCCTGCCTGACTTGGGAAGACACTGTGGCTACAAACCACACAGCCCTGGACAAGGTCTCTGTGTGGATCAGAAATGAAATAAGTTTTTCTACCTGGAGCTCTTAGGCAATGTGCTAAAACTTGAGCAAGCATCAGAATCCCCTGGGGGGGGGCTGAAACAGAGATGGTTTGGTCATGCCTCCAGAATTTCTGATTCTGTAGCTCTGGGCTGAAACCAAAGAATTTTCAGTTCTAGCAAGTTACCAAGTGATGTTGTGTTGTTGATCTAAAAGACCACAGTGGGAGGACCACTGCATGACATTTTTAGGAGGACAAAATAAATAAATCACATTTGTGCAGAAGCCATCGCCAGTCAAGCAGAAGGCCAGGGTCAGTTGTCTATTCTAGAAGAAGAAAAAGAGTAAGTCCCACTTCTTGACTTAGGGCCCTGGGGGAATGTGTTCTGGTCCTGGTGGCCCTCAGACTCTGTTATTGGTCTCCAATAATCAATAATACCTTCTCAGACATGAAAGAGGATGGGGGCAGCATGAAGGCAAAGCCTTTAAGTTGCAGAGAACGCCATCGCAGATGTCCAGTGACAGGCAGGTCATTTGTAAGTCTGCAGTCTCAGCATGGGGCATGTTAATGGATCCCTGGCATAGGAGGGATAACAGAGAGGGTGTGTAGGTGCCTACCCCTCACAATTAGAGCTTCTACCCCACAATGCTTTCCCCAGAATAAAATACTATCTTTCACACTAAAAAAAAAAAAAAAACATTTGGACTCCATCTCCCCTGGTCATGAGCTGGGAGAGAATGATTTCTAGAGAAGCTAAGCTATATGCTACAAATCCGCCCACTTAGGAATAGCAGCAGGCCCAGGGATCTGATGCCTTTTCTGCATACTAAGCCAAGCCTGGGAAAGCAAGTCTTTGTGGGTGGTGGGCTTGGAGTGTCCCCTGCATGGACATATCTGCAAACAGGGAGTTTACTGGCGCCATCTCTCTTCCACCTACTCGAAGGGGACAGCCAACCAGGGTAGGACTGAGGCATACAAAGAGTGGGTACCAGCTCTAGAAAGCAGAATTGGTTTACCAGTTTGAAAGTTTGGATGGATGATGGGTTCTTTCATTTTGAAATTCAGGGAGCCAAGACTTGCCAGGGTCCTGGAGCCTCTGAAGAGGCCAACACCAGATAGCTGTCTTCATAGTGAATGAGGCCTGTCACTGCTAAAAGAGGAAGCAGGGCTGGCATCTGCCCACGAGGATACTAATGAGCACAAACTGTGTGCTCAGTGCAAAGCCTTTCCTCAAGTCTTCAGGCCTCACCGAGTCCAGGGTTTTGGAGATTAAGGTTGAAGCCCTGTCTGAATGTGTAACTGAGATGAGGGGTGAACTTGGAGGAGCTGGGACTGCGCCCTGACCTCAGACTCCGGACAGTAGGTGCAAAGTGAGGCCACTCAAAGGAGGAGATGGACACGGTCACTACTAAGTCTGTTCCAGTCACTTACAAGTGTTGGTCTTTGGGCTTATGAAAGGAGGGGAGCCTGGGCAGAGTGAGGCCCTGAGAGTTTAAGAGTCATGGCTGACAGAGACTCCGTGGCCCCCGGAGCCTCTGCTTGTTGCTCACTAGTAACGAGTTAATTACCATTCATAACCAATGATAGCCTGGATCTGCTTCAGCCCAACCAGAGTCCTTAACTAGGTAACAGAAAAACCTGTCCGAAAGCAAGCCGGCCTTCCAGCCGTTGCCAAGCTCTCAGAGCTCTTGAGTTACAGCCCACCCAGTTTGGGTTTGGCCCATGAGGCCCTCTGGCTTGGGCAGTGTAGGCMGGCAGTTGCAGTTTTGCCTGAGGCGAGCAAAGCTTTAGACCCAGGACCTGACCCTTGGAATTGAACAGAGTATCTAGCCCGACAGGCTCATGAATCACTGTCCCCACCACCATGACCTGGTCCCAAGACCGTAGTCTCTTGCCCTCCCCTCCAAAAAAGGCATCCTGCATACCAGGCACCCACCCCCTAACAGAGAGCACATCCTGTCTGGGTCCTGGGTCTGCAGCCTCCACACCCAGACCTGGTGTGCTCCCCACCCCCCAGAGTAGGCCCTACAGCTGTCCCTTCTCCACAAAACCTGGCAACAATTAGTTGTGAAGTCGGAGAGCTGCCCCTAGGGGACCAGCGGCCTCCGTGGTCCCTGGCCTTGCTAAGTGTTGCCTCCTCAGGGCTCCGTGCCAGGGTGGTCTCCTAAAAGAAAACGCTCTGGATCTGCTGGGGAGGAGGAGGGTGGACCGAGAAGGAGGAGGACGGCTCTGGGCCCAGGAGCAGGAGCCGCCGGTGTTGGCTGGGAGGGAGCTGGTGGGACGCCTGCCCTCCTCTGGTCCCTCTCTTCCCGCTGGTCTCTGCTTGGTGTTTGCCCTATTTTTCTCATTGCCTAGGCAACCATCCTAGTTTCACCCTTCACCACCCAGCCCACCCTGGGAGCCCAGAGTCCAGCTCGGAGGAAGGGAACAGCAGGGTGAAAGGAGGGACACGGGCCAAACAGGGGAGCAGGAAGGAGAGAAGGCAAAGGGATGAGCTGAAGACAGGAAGGGTTTCCGCCGGCCTGCACTGTACCCGGGAGGACCCGCGAGGGGAGCCGGCCGGGAGGCAGGGTCGGGCACATTCCCTCATGCTGCACCCTGGGCTCGGCACAATTAATTCCTTTGTCCTGTTGCTGCCACAGCTCATTAGCTCTGGATTTTACCCTAATTATATCCCCACTTGCTTTCCACCAGGGGCTTCATTATCTAGGCCTGGGTACCCCTTCTCGGACTCCCAGGGCAGG